AGCAGGAGGATTTGTCTGGTTTTATTGTGGGGCAGAGGGTGAAACTTGAGGAGTGACTGATGATAGCTGAATGGTCTAATGAATTAATCCAGTCCACTACCTGCTTTGCAGGATATTGAGACAGAAATCTGAATACACTGTGAATCCAAACTTTGTCTGCCTAGCCAAAGAGAAAATGGGATTACTGGAAAATTCAACTCTGATACCCTAGCTATATTCCTCTCTGGCAGTCCCTAGTAAACTAAGAGTACATTTGATGCAATTGTGTTGTCTTTGGGAGGGTAAGTCATAACCTTACTGGTGATTTGTTAGTTAATTTTACAAAAGGGAGGTTTTTCTGGATTTCTCAAAAAATATTTGTAAGAACTCCCTTCCACAGCCCACTTCAAATGACATGATTTGCTATTAGTATGTTTACTACAGAAGTAGATTCTGAATATTTAAAGTGATGGAGTCTCTAAAGTTATAAGGACAGAATTTGGGTAGTAAGTTAGGCGAAGTACATGTCTTTTGCACACAGCTGGAAGGGTTACCGTAAGTCTGGTGTGTATAAAAATGTATATAGATGTGTGTGTGCAAAAGGTATTTTCCATGTGCTGTTTAATCACTTAGACATAGTGCCTTATACTTGAATTTGAACATTTCCCAAGATTTTTTAGACTTCTGGCAGACCACTTGAAGCAGCAGGATTTCATTTTACTCTTGGATGTCTAGAAATCCATGACCAGTCTTTGCCTGCGGATCAGTTATCGTAGGAGTGCAGTAAGTCTGGCACTCCTGATGTCATCAGGCTGATCATGGATATGATGCACGGTTCTCTGTGAGTGACAAAATCCTGGTCCACTGGGAATTCCTGTTTTCTGTATGTATACACATTATGCGGTCCCTGTGTTCGAGGGGTGGGCTCTTCAGGGGAGCTGAAGAGAAACTTCCTCTGGCTCAAAAAGTCCCTGAGCTATGGACAGGGGAAAGCTGGAAGGGTGTATGAGGAGAACTATCATCATTTACTTGCTCCTTTGGAGGAGGCTTTCCTTGTAGGATAGCAAGATATGGGGAACCTTTTGTCTGGACCAGCAGTCATTATGTTCTTGTATAGGCCTGCTTTCAGTGCCATTCTACCTAAAACTACAGAATTCTGGGAATCCCTTATGAATAGCTTCTGTACTGGTCCAAAAGCTTTAAGTGCAGCGTTTTTTCAGGTGTTCTGCAGATGATTGCCCAATGCCAGTGTCAGAGGTGGGCTTCAGAGTACCGCTGTGAGCAGCAAGGGAGGCGAGGAGCGTACAGAGAGGAAATTGCATAGCTTCAAGGTCTGCTAGAAAATAAATTTGAGCAAAACCAAATACTTGTACTGTTGTTCTGTTCTCAGAAGCACTGTCGTGCAGGCTACCCAGAAACTTAAAATTTGATCCTCATCCCTGATCCTGATGCAGCTTTATCTGTGCTGCCATACTTTGTTGCCTTTGAAAATGGGGTGCAGCTGTTCAGTATCTAGTGTCAAAATACTGTATTATTTCATCCTGCTTGATGGCCTTACTACAGAAAAGGAGGATTAGTGGCAGCTGGAACCAATATGCCTCTAGTTTTTAAAACAGTTGGAAATTTTCCCCTTCATTTTGCAAGTTAAATAGAGGAATTCAAATCCAACGTTCTCTGTGAGGAGATTGATTCTGTAATTTGCTTATATTCCCTCTTTCACATGCATGTCAAATTTTGCTGGATTTATGTCTCCCTGTTTAATCTTTGTTGGTAAGAGAGGCACATTCGCTGTGGGAAGCTGGGAGGGAGACAAAGAGAAGTGGAAAAGAAACCCAGCTCCTAGTGGTGAAATAATGGGTTTCAGAGCAAGGAAACATACAGGAAAACTTTGAAAGGTAATTAATTAACCTCCTTACTTTGCACATAGATTAAAGTGAGCATGTAAACATTAAGATCAGTTTAAAATGCTTCTCTTTTAATTCAGCACTATTTTACTGAAATGTAAATTACTGCTAAACAGAGCAGGGTCATTGAGATCAACCCTAGCATGTACATTAATCCATTTGAAATTTTTTGCCATGGTTTTTTTTTTTTCTTGTTGCCTTCAGAATTTACTCTGGTACCTTTTGTGCTATGGAAGCAGTGTCCGTTCATACAGAGAGAGCATAGTACAGGCTGAAACTGGTCGAGTTTGGCTATTTTGACATAGAAGAGGGATCTGCAGAGAGGCCCTTACTTAGTGCCTCTACATTCGGGAAGCTTGAAGCGTTTCCTGAGTCCAACGAGGTTGCTGTGGAAATATGCAGTTGGAGGCAGGCCAAAGCATTGCTGCTGATCTAGTGATAAAAATCCTCCTGTGCAGTAGGAAAGAGCAGTCCAGCTCTAATACTCCACCCTTCAGCTCTGCTCCTCTAAACAACATAAACTTATGGCTGTGGAATTTCTCACGTGCACTTAATTTTGTAGGATTTTGTGAAATAGCAAGGATTTCAGCTCTGCTTTTAAACCAAGTCAGACTTTAAGAAACATGGTCACCTAACTGTTTTCTAGCAGCTTCTGAGGGTTTTACATTGTCAAAATCAGACTGTCTTGGTTTTTCCCCAGTCTGTGGGCTTGAGCATATGGTATAGTTATACACCTAGGCTTGCGGTAGGTTTTTTGTATGAGCGAACTAAAGACAGAAGAGGCAATTCCAAATGGGTATTATGTTCTGCAAAACTCTGGCAGGTTCATTTTATCTAAAATGCAAATTTTTAAAAGAGTGAAAAAGAGTAAAATTTTAAAAATTTGTCAAAGTTGAGTAAGTTCAAATCCTGGAAAGCAAATAAAGAGATTGAGTGAAATACTGTTCTCATTTTATTCTGCCCCAGGAAAATCCTTGGGAGGGTAGGCAAAGGGAAGTTTTGCATACCGTTACAGCCATCTGTTTGTGATGTGTGAGTAAATTAGCAGAAATTGTGAGAAGGCATCTTTAACTCCACATGAAAGGTAGCTGGATGTGGGTTTAGTTGTGCCTCACCCATGACTAGAAGTTATACATTCATCCTAGCCACTCTTTCTTGAATGTTCCTAAAATGAACTACTACTCTTGTGTCAAACATGACCCGCAAGTTAATAACAGCAGGTAAAATATATACCTAATATGGTATAAAAGGTATTCCTAATAAGTGAATAAAAAGAAACTATTGTTGCACATTTCAAGATCTGTAGTCAGAAAGGACTGGTGATTGATTTTTCTCTAAAGGCAAGATTAAATAGCACAATACAACATTGTGAAACTTTCCTCTCCAATTTAGAGAGAATTTTGATCAAAATGACAAGCCAGCTCAGAATTTCCCGTGCAAGTTCCATAGAACAGAGC